CAAACTTGTGCCTAAAATGCAGAGTATAGTATTATATTATTTATATGTATATATGTATGCATATTATATATCTATATATAGTATATATTGTATTAATATTTTTTCTTTGACAATAGGTTTATTTGGCATTTTCCTCCATAATCATGACTTTCATTCCAGCTCAACATTTGCCAAATCTCTTTTCTCTGTTGTTCTCATCTGCAACACTGGCCTTCTTATTGTTACACAAAAACGACACTGTATCTCTCAGCTCTCCAGCTTGTTTCTCTTCCCTTGGATTGTGACCTCCTTGAGGGCAGGAACTGTCTTTTGCCTTTTTTTTTTCATATCCCCAGTGCTTAACACAGTACCTGGCAAATAATAGAATCCTAATAAATGTTTTTTGACTAACTCAAACCAATAATTCTATAATTATTCCTTTAAAAATATAATAAATGGAGAGAATAGCAAAACAGGTCATATACCTGTTCAAAGTATTTTTTTTTAGTTTATTATTTTAGTTTTCCCAAGTTGTACATGAAAACAATTTTTAACATTCATTTTTAAAACTTTGAGTTCCAAATTCTCTCCCTTCCGCCTTCCGCATCCCCTCCCCCCCATTGAGAAGGCAAGCTAGTAGTCATGTTGTGAAAGAAAACAGACAAAAAAATCTGAAGGAAAATAAAGCTAAAAAAAAAGAATATACTTCAATCTGCTTTCAGACACCATCATTTTTTTTGTCTGGAGATGAAAATCATTTCTCATCATAAGTCCTTCAGAGCTGTCTTGGACCATTGTATTGCTGAGAATAGCTGAATCATTCATCCTACAATATTGCTGTTATTTTGTACATAGTACATTTCACTTTGCATCAGCTCATACAAGTCTTTCCAGGTTTCTCTGAGAGCATTCTGCTCATTATTTCCTATACTACAATAGTATTCCATCATAATCACATACCACAATTTGTTCAGTCATTCCCCAATTGATGGGCATCGCCTAAATTTCTAATTATTTGCCCCCAGAAAAGAGCTACTATGAATATTTTTGTACATATACAGTCCTTTTCCTTTTTCTTTAAATCTCTTTTGGGATAAAGTATTTCTTTAAATCCTGCATAGTACACAAGTGATTAGTATATCTTTTGTTCATATGTGAAATTTCTGTGCCCACCAAATTCTAGGTCTATAGCCAAGTAAAGCTATGCCTAAACATTCCCTGCTGCCTGGAAAAGGAATAGAAAGACACTCAAATTCAAGAAATATTTATTAAGTCTTAGGCAGTGGTGATGCCAAAATAAAAACAAACAAAAGCAAAAATAACACTACTCAGTCCTTGTCATTAAGGAGCTTAAAATAAAAAAGGAAATTGTACAGAAAAAGATGAGAGAGATGGAGAGAATGATCAGTCATACATGTAACATGGGTTCCCAGTTGAACCTGGGATATTTTGTGTGCTTCTATTTAGGTGTAACTTGGGAATAACTGAAAGAATTTATAAGTAGAAATGTCGATATGTAGAATGCAGATATATAGCTTCCAAAGCTGCAATCAAATAGAGGAAGTCAATTCCTCAACATGTCCCTGATTTGCAAATTCTTTCTCTCTGTCTCTATGTGTCTGGAGTCAGTCCTAAGAGAGCTGTCCGCCATGCGTATCCTCCTGAAGAAAGAATATCTGTCAAAAGCTCTTACACAGCATCAGCATTCTCTCCAACAATCCAGAATCATGACTAACCATCAGCACGCAAAATATCCCAGGCTTGGACAGAAACTTCAGTTATATATAGATAAATAAATGAGAAAAGTTAATTATAATGATAATAACTCACATTAAAATGATATGCTGAAGTTTACAAGTCACTTTCTTCACAACAACCCTGTGAGACAAGTGGGACAATTATTATCCCCATTTTACAGATGAGGAAGCTGAAAAATCAGAGAGATTAAATATCTTGCCCATGACCAACAAACTACTACACATTAGTGCCCAGATTTAGAACTAGGTTTATTTAATCTAATGCATCTCCCCCCACCCCCTTTTTAAACCACACTGTCTCTTTAATACTGTAATACTGGGTACACAAGTGAAAGGTTGACCCTATCACACAAAGTAGAATTTTTCTGCAAAGAAATGTGTGAGAAAATGGTCAGTAGCCACACTCCATAAGGTGTGGGGTAGATAGGTTATTATCTGCATTCACATCATTGAAAACACAGCTTTCTTGAAGTATCAAAATATGTTGGTATATGTGTGTGCACAAATATTTGAAGACTCACATATATAAATACACAAAATTCTAGAGAAAAGTAACCTATAGAAAGAGGGATGTATCTCAGAAACATGCTGGCACATACTGTTAGATTTGGTAGTTGCTGTTTAGTAGTTTCAGTCGTGTCCAATTCTTTGTCACCCTATTTGGACTTTTCTTGGCTAAGATACTAGAATGGTTTGCCATTTCCTTCTCTAGCTCATTCTACAGATGAGGAAATTGAGGCAAACATGGTCAAATGACTTGCCCAGAGTGACAGAGCTAATAAGTGTTCGAGGCAGATTTGAAATCAGAAAGATGAGTCTGCCTGACTCTGGGCCTGACACTCTATCCATTGCACTACCTAGCTGCCCCAGATATTGGGCAAATAATCTTTATCTAGTTTGTGGTATAGCCTTTCAGTCATCATATATTCACCAAGATGGCTTGTGTGCATGGTGATCAGAGTTCTATACAAGGTGTTTATTGATTCATATTTTAAAACTTGGGGAAGGGGGAGAGAAAAATGTGAAATTAGATTCAATCCTAAATAAACTAAATTAGCAGTTGGTAAGGGCTAGGATGAATTAGAGATGTTATGTGAGATGCCACTGATGCAGCTAGATGGCACAGTGGATAGAGTAGAAAATCACTCCAGTATCTTTGCCAAGAAAACTTCAAATAGAGGCACAAAGAGTTGGAAAACACTAAAACTACAGAAACTCCCTGGAGGAAGATCCGAGTTCAAATAAAGCCTCAGACACTTATTAGCTGTGTTACCCTGGGTAAGTCACTTAACCTTGTTTGCCTCAGTTTCCTCATCTGTGTCAAACAATTCCAGTATCTTTACCCCCTCCAAAAAAAAAAACCAACCCTAAATGGTGTCTTGAAGTGTTGGACATGACAAAAATAACCTAAAAACAACAGTGAGATGCCACCTCAGGACTTTTTCCTTCCCAGTCTTCTCCCTGATGGGTTTGAAAGACAAGTTTCCCCCAGGGCCAGGGGCAAAGAGTCAAGACTAACAGTGAGGAGGTGGGGTAGGGAAGAAGAAGAAGCTGGCAAAACAGTGGTGTTGCCCATTGTGAGGGTGGGGGCCAGAGAGAAGGGTTAACAAGGTTTCTCTTCACCAGTACACTAACATCTATCCTCAACAACTACTAGACTTACATACACCATGATACCTCACACCAGAATAAAGCGCCTCATAAGTCCTGCATGGCTGGCTATAGGTGCAAGGTTCTGATAACTTACCATACATTATAATGTGCATTCTTCAGCATCATTGACAGAGCAGGAATTGCATCTATTAGCATATTATCAATGCTTTAGATGTGTTTACTGAAAGAATAATATGTATGAACAGACCATATCTTACAAAGCAATGAATAAAGAACAAGGTGGAAATTGGGGGAGGAGTAGGACAGGGATTGGAAGGGGCAGAGAAGAGGAGGAGCTGTGGGATGAGTTAACTTCACAGAAATATTTTCAATTTGGGTTATAAGCAGTGTGACATAAAAAATTCAAGAGACATGGTTTTGGGGTAATTAATCATTTTATTAATAATGCTAGTATGTTATTAATAAAAAGGGTCATTGCCAATCTCTAATGCCAAAGACCCCTTATGGAACCCATTCAAAGCTTATACACCCTTGGAAGAATGGGTGTTACAGAGGGTGATAATTGACTCAGATTGGTTAACAAGTAATGAAAGAGAATGAATATTATAATGAGAGGTGGACCTATTCTAATGAGGAGTTGGAGGATATGACTTTGAACATGTCATTTACTTCCAACTAACCCTCAGCCTTGCACAATTTAATGAAAGAATTTATCCTCATCCAAACCTGAGTAGAACACAATGAGCAGGAATTCATCTAGGTAAGATGGACTAGGTCAGGTAAATTTTTGGGAAAGGTCAGTAATGTCCTTCAAAGACTGGGCTTCAAATAAGGAAATAGGAAAAGGGAAAAGCCTAGATCTCCCCCATAGCTGGTTATTAATAACCATTTCTCTCACCAGCCAGGTCAGGGGTACAATGTATAAGCAAAGATCTCAATTATCATGCAAATAGAGCCATGGATTGATCCCTGAATCAAGGGAGACTCTTATGGAGGATAGCAGAAGGGATTCAAAAGAACTAGGATCCTGGAATCAAAGTCTCCTGTCCAGCTGAGAGTGAACATGAGATCTCTGTGTCTGGAGGAGTGGAGGAGAAGACTAGTTTATATAGTCTAATAATTCAACAAGGAAGGTGCTTCTCTGAAGAGGTGTGCTCTCTATAGCCCAGAGAACATGCTTGGACTCTTCATAAAGCGTCTTTGCTTACACAGAAGTTTTCTGACCACTTGAGAAGGCTGACCATGTTATTAATGAAGGGTAGCAAGACAAGTGAAGTCATACTGTGTGTAAAGGACTAGAAGAAAAGACAGAGATCGAGAGATTAGAGAATAAGATATAGGTAAAGGAAGATTTAGGAGTGAGGACATAGGAAAAGAAGGATAAAAGAGGGAAATTTCAGAATTAAAGGTCCTGAAGGAGAAACACTTTGATAGAGGCAAAAATCTCACCCTGATGGGAGAGTTCAGGATAGTGGAGAGGTGTTCACCACATGAGAAGGGGTGGAGAGGCAACTCTCAACATTGTCCCCTTAGGATAGAGTGCTGGAGGGCAGGTGAATTCTAAAACGATCTCAAGTATCACAGGAAACTGATTCCACTCCACACCAATTCAATAAACATTTATTAGGAGACTGTTTGTAGCTGATGGTCTTAAAGTGACATCTTTGGGACACCGATCTCAGCTTCATCATATCCCAGGTCCTCAGAGGACATTGGTGGGTCATCTTCTCCTATCCTAGAGTCAGAGGATCCCCCAAAGAACTTAGGAGACTGACCTACAACCAGTAAAGTAGAGCTGAATTTGGAGCTGTGTCTAAAGCAAAACAAGCAGCCTTTGGTGATGGTACAGGTGGGTGAAAAGAAGGCCACCTTCAAGACCTCGGTATAGAGTCTTTTCTCAGTCTAGATGCACCATTGACAGGAAAGGGAGCATGAATGGCCAGGACTGAGAGAGGGCTATGGAAGGGCTTCTCTTGACATTGAGGGTGGGTTGGAATCAAAGGGAATGGGAGAATGGAGGAGGCAGCTTCAGAACCTCAGGGCCTGCTCATTTTGTTGCTTAATCACATCACTGTGGGTACAGTTGTCCCAGGTATATTCATGAAAAAATGTCAATACAGAGAATTCTCGATGCACTGACAAAATTTTTTCATCATAAATATATGCATGTATGTACCCACATATACACATACACTTATAGATATACATATGAATGTATGTAAGCACATATATGTGTGTATGCATACAAGTACTCATAAATTTGGTAGACAAACACATCTGTATGTAGGCACATACCTATATGAGGTAGTGCCACCCCCTCTTCTTCCTAAATAAGTTCACTCATACCTGGAAATCTCACTGATTAGGTCAATAAATCTGTTGGGAGTCACTCACCTGTGTGTGATGCCCTGTACTCATCCCATTCATTGGTTGGCCCCAGAGTACCCCCCTCATTCATCTGGGTGACAGAGGGAATTTCAGGCCCAGATAATTCTTCAGAATCATCATACCCATCACCTGGGGTATCATCAGGCTGACTTGAGATATCTGAAGGGGAGATGACAGTTGTGTTTTCAACACAATTTTGCTGTAGGTAAGGAGATGTCCTTGAGCATGTGAAAACAAATATATGATTTTGTTTTTTAACATATAAGGGAATATCAGGAGGTGTTCAAAAATGAATTGAACTGAAGAATAAGACTACTTAGGGTTAGGATTAGAAATGTAACCTTGCACTAAGAATCACCAAGGTGGGAAAGGGGGCAAATGCTCCCTCATGTAGAACAATGATTTCAGTCCCCTTACTGTTATTTTCCTCTTCATTTCTTTTAGCTTCAAAATTCTCCTCTCTTAATTTCTATTGCCTCACTGCTTATCACTGACCCCATCTTCAAGGAGGAAATCACTTAGACCAGAACCTTCAACCCTGTCATGATTCATTCATGTTGCTCTGGTGATAGAGACTCTGAGACAGAATAGACAAGAGAGAGTAAGCTGATTCCCTGAATTATCCTCCAGATTCTGATACCTCTTTGATCATTGTTCTGACCCTGAAATCAAGCCCTATGCCTCTCTCAGGAGCCTAGACACCTATCACACCAAACCTGGCTCCCTTCCTCCCTTTCTTTGAATCATGTCTCTTGTCTCAGTCCAAACCTCTATCTCCTAAGCACATGTTTGGAGTCAAACAGACAGTACCCAGCTCCCATTGAGAGAGTTCTTAAAAACCTGACCTAGGGAGGTATGGGAAATCTGGGACGAGGAGGAGCTGAGGACAGGAGAGTTGTATTTTAGCTGATACCCTCCAGGGCAGAAAACTCCTTGGGAAACATCCATCCTTGCCTCTAAGGTCTGCTCTTTCTTGTCACTTGAGGAAAGTGCAGTTTGGCTTTTTCCTTCATTTTCCCCTGTAGAGTATGGAAGCTTGTCTCTCATATCAAATGATGAGAAGAACATGACAGAATCAAATGGGAAAAGGAAACTCATTCTCCTCCCCATACACCAAGTTGGATCTATCCACAGACATGAGAACAATATGACAATGTGTTCTGACAACAGGGAGTGCTCCCAGTCTTTGTTGATGAAGACAAAAAAGTCACTCTTTGAGATGATTAATTAAAGTGTTCTGGAGAGACTAAGGGACCTCCCAAACATGACAGAAACTCTTATGCCACCTTCCTGGAAGTCTTCATGTTTGGCTGGTGAAGAACTTGATTGACAAGACATTAGTAATGTAAAACAAACTATGTTCTAAGTATTGCAGCATGTTGGGGCTGATGTTTTCCTAACAGAAGGATGCTGTTCTTCATGCACAGGAGGAGAAAAGTGTGGAAAACTCAAAGTTTGTTAGTGAGTGAGCATGTCAGAGCTGGCCAGGAGAGAGGTGGCTCTGCTCATAAAGATGAGTACAATGCATGTGGATGGAAAAGTCCTAACGGTATGAAAGGGAGTTTCATCCATGGTTTCATGTTGTCATCTTTTTGGGACACTCAAACCTTTTTGCTCCAATTCTGTTCTTACCAAGAAAGCTGCAGATTTAGAGGAAATAGTATAATGGTGTTAATAAATTTTATTGAGGTGACTATCCTCTTAGAGAAGTGAAATCATTGCATCTTTGGATCTAAAATTATGAGGGTCCTATGAACTTGTAGGCACTATAATCAATGGGACCCAGACTGACAAAAGAACATCAGAACCAAAGGAATCCAGAGCTCTGGATATTTTCCTTCTAGAGATGAAGCTCAGAGTTCAGGATTGGGTTGTTGGACCTGCCTGCCCATGCAGAGAATGAGAAATGGAAACTAAAATGTTATGGGAAGTAGAGCAGGGAAAACCACAGCAAGCAGGTACAGGCAGAGATTTCTGAAGATGCCAAAGCCATAGATTCTGATAATGACCAAAACATATAGCTTGTTTCCTGAGTGTCTAAGGGAGGAGGGTGGACAGAAGATACACTTACCTGGGCTGCTCAGAAAGTCCTCCTTGTCCCCTGTCCTGTAGTAATCAATCTCTTGGTACATGGCTTCATAAAGAGAATCCCCATATCTGGACAAAGCTGGGACAAATGGCCATGTATCAGAAACTCTGGGCCTGAGACCATCACCTCACATATATTTGTCTCAGGGGCCCTTCTCAATCTATTTTCTGTTCACACTCAGGCAACTCCCTAGTTCTAATATGGATGCCTGTTCTGCCCAGTCCATAAGGTATGATCTTGGTTGGAATTTCATACCTAACACAAGCTCTGTGCTCAAACTTAGCCACTCCTGGGCCAAACACAGTTGGAAGTATTTGGGGCTTGAAAATCAAAGCAAAACACGTGGGTCATAACCGATCCTGAAGTACTTTATTTGGCCTTTTCCAAAATCCCTATCCCTATCATTTCCTGCCTTCACTCACCCACACTCTTTCCCATGTTGTTCGGTGACCCATGGGTTGCCCACCTTTTTGCTGGATTCTCCCTCTATGCATCTGAATCACTAGGAGGATGAGGACCAGAAGGAGAAGGACTCCTAAAATGAGGCAGAGGGTCCCAAGCAGAGAGTTCAAAGAGGCCTTAGGTCCTTTGGAGAAGAAGAATCATAAGGCTCTGGATTACGGAAGAAGTTATCAAACTCTCCTCAGGACAACTCAGTGAGTTTATATGGGGAAAGGAGGGAAATATGAGGCTGACCCTCAAATTGAAGACCCTCCAATTGGGAACCCCTCCCAGCTGCACCATAGAGGGGACTGGGATAGACCTGAATGACCAAGAAAGGACAGTGAAGGGGCAATCCTTCCTTATGGGGACTGAGTTCCAGATCTCTAAACTGGAAATTGGCAGGAGGGTGATACATTCTTGAAGAACCTTCTGTGGATCCCCCCAAACCCCACCTCAACCCCCAGCTCACAAGATTTTCCACGGCTTCCCAGAATTCTGGTACAGTAGATCTCCTTAGAGATGAAAAAATCCCACAAGGTCAACTTTGTGCCTGGGAAGGTTCCTGCTGTTAAATGAACTCATAGCTGGCAGAAGGAGAGTAAAGGTGGCAGAACATTGTACCTTTTGTGGTAGATAGCAACTTCTCACCTAGAAAAAAATATTGGAGAAAAAATATCTGAAGAATGAATAGAGCTTAGGTTGGGCATGGCTTCTGCATCCTGCTCTAAACTCCCTATTATGTGAATATCCTCCCATATTGCTCCATCCAAACAGCTTAGGAAGGCTCCTCGATCTCCTAGTTCTCCTTCATCCAGCTCAAGCTCAAGGAGAGACTTATAGACCATATGTATTGGAGTCAGAGGACCTGTGCTGAAGTCAAATCCTAAGTCCAGATGCCAAAATTGGAAATTTCTGGAAGCACCACATACGCTCTTTTTTCTTTTTTTTTATTAATTTATTTTGATTTATCAATAATCACTTCCATGTTTTTTTGAGTTTAAAATTTTTCTCCCCCTTCCCCCTCACCACCCCATCCAAGACAGTACACAATCTCATATAGGCTATACATTTACATTCCTATTAAACATATTTTCATATTAGTGATGTTGTAAGTAAAAATTAAAACCAATAGGAGGAACCATCAGAAAGAGGAAACAAAACTCAACAGAAGAGAAAAAAAAATAGCAATTCAACTTCCATAGTTCTTTCTTTGGATGTGGATAGCATTTTCCATCATGAGGCCTCTGGAGATGTCTTAGATCCTTGTATTGATGGGAAAGGTTAAGTTTATCTCTACTAGTCATCGCACAACATGGTTGTTATTGTGTACAACTTTCTCTTGGTTCTGCTCACTTCACTCAGCATCAGACCATGCAAGTATTTCCAGGTTTTTCTGAAGTCAGCCTCTTCATCATTTTTTATACCACAATAGTATTCCATCACATTCACATACCACAACTTACTCATCCATTCCCCAATTGATGGGCATCCTCTCAATTTCCAATTCTTTGCCACCACAAAAAGAGATGCTATGAGTATTTTTGTACATGTGGGTCCTTTTCCCATTTCTATGATCTCTATGGGATATAGCCCTAGAAGTGTTATTGCTGGGTCATTTTTATAGCTCTTTGGGCATAATTCCAAATTGCTCTCCAAAATGGGGGGATCATTTCACAACTCCACCAACAATGCTTTTGTGTTCCAATTTTCCCACATCTTCTCCAACATCTATCATTTTCCTGTTTTGTCATGTTGACCAATCTGATAGGTGTGATGTGGTACCTCAGAGTTGTTTTGATTTGCATTTCTCTAATCAGTAGTGATTTAGAGCATTTTTTCATATGACTATAGATGGCTTTAATTTCTTCATCTGAGAACTGCCTGTTCATATCCTTTGACCATTTATCAATTGGAGAATGGCTTGTATTCTTATAAATTTGACTTAATTCTCTATATATTTTAGAAATGAGGCCCTTATCAGAGAGACTGGTTGTAAAAATTCTTTCCCAGTTTTCTACCTTCCTTCTAATATTAGTTGCATTGGCTTTGTTTGTGCAAAAACTTTTCAATTTAATGTAATCAAAATTATCCATTTTGCTTTTTGTAATGTTCTCTATCTCCTGTTTGGTCATGAATTCTTCTGTTCTCCATAAATCTGATAGGTAAACTATTCCTTACTCTTCCAGTTTCCTTATACTATCAACCTTTATATCTAAATCATGAACCCACTTTGATTTTATTTTGATATATGGTGTGAGATTTTGGTCTAAGCCTAGTTTCTGCCATACTCTTTTCCAGTTTTCCTAGCAGTTTATTTCAAAGAGTGGGTTCTTATCCCAGAAGTCTTTGTGTTTATCAAATAATAGATTACTATAGTCATTGACTACTGTGTCTTGCATATTCCACTGATCCACCACTCTATTCCTTAGTCAGTACCAAGCAGTTTTGATGATTGCTGCTTTATAATAAAATTTAAGATCTGGAATGGCTAGGCCACCTTCCCCTGCATTTCTTTTCAATAGTTCCCTTGATATTCTGGACCTTTTCTCCTTTCAAATGAATTTTGTTATTATTTTTTCTAACCTTATAAAATAATTTTTGGTAGTTTGATTGGTATGGCACTGAATAAGTAAATTAGCTTTGGTAGAATCATCATTTTTATTATATTAGCTTGGCCTACCCATGAGCAACTGATGTTTTTCCAATTATTTAGATCTGACTTTATTTGTGTGAAAAATGTTTTGTAATTGTGTTCATAAAGTTCCTGGGTTTGTTTCAGGAGGTAGACTCTTCAATAATTTATAATATCTACAGTAAGTTTAAATGAAATTTCTCTTTCTATCTCCTGTTGTTGGGCTTTGTTGGTAATATATAGAAATGCCAATGATTTATGTAGGTTTATTTTATACCCTGCAACTTTGCTAAAGTTGTTTATTATTTTGAGTAGTTTTTTACTTGATTCTCTAAGTATATCATCATGTCATCTACAAAGAGTGATGGCTTTGTTTCTTCTTTGCCTATTCTAATACCTTCAATGTCTTTTTCTTCTCTTATTGCTACAGCTAATGTTACAAGTACAATATTGAATAGCAATGGTGATAATGGACATCCTTGTTTCCCCCCCCCATCTTATTGGAAATGTTTCTAGCTTGTCCCCATTACATATTATGCTTGCTGAAGGTTTTAGATAGATGCTATTTATTATTTGAAGGAAGACTCCATTTATACCTATGCTTTCTAGTGTTTTTAATAGGAATGGGTGTTGTATTTTGTCAAAAGTTTTTTCTGCATCTATTGAGATGATCATGTGGTTTCTGTTAGCATTGGTGTTGATATGCTCAATTATGCTGATCGTTTTCCTAATATTGAACCTGCCCTGCATTCCTGGTATAAATCCTACCTGGTCATAGTGTATTATTCTTGTGATAAGTTGTAGTAATCTACTTGCTAAATTTTGTTCAAAATTTTTGCATGTATATTCATCAGAGAAATTGGTCTATAATTTTCTTTCTGTGTTTTGACTCTTCCTGGTTTAGGTATCAGCACCATTTTTGTATCATAAAAAGAATTTGGTAAGACTCCATCTTCACCTATTTTCCCAAATAGTCTATATAGTATTGGAATTAATTGTTCTTTAAATGTTTGATAGAATTAGCATGTAAATCCATCTGGCCCTGGAGATTTTTTCCTAGGGAGTTCATCAATGACTTGTTCAATTTCTTTTTCTGAGATGGGGTTATTTAAGTATTTCAATTCCTCTTCTGTTAATCTGGGAAATTTATATTTTTGTAAATATGTATCCATTTCACTAAGATTGTCAAATTTATTAGCACACAGTTGGGCAAAATAATTCCTAATTATTGTTTTAATTTCCTCTTCCTTGGTTGTAGCTTCATCCTTTTCATTCTTGATGCTAATAATTTGGTTTTCTTCTTTCTTTTTGTAAATTAAATTAACCAAAGGTTTATCTATTTTTTATTTTTTTCATAAAACCAGCTCTTAGTTTTATATATTAGTTAATTAGTTCTCTTAATTTCAATTTTACTAATTTTTCCTTTGGTTTTCAATATTTCTAATTTGGTGTTTAATTGAGGATTTTTAATTTGTTCTTTTTCTAGTTTTTTAAGTTCATTGATCTCCTCTTTTTCTATTTTATTTATGTAAGCATTTAGAGATATAAAACATCCCCTAAGAATTGCTTTCACTGCATCCCATAAGTTTTGGTGTGTTGTCTCATTATTGTCATTCTCTTGAATGAAATTATTGATTGTTTCTACGATTTGTTGTTTGACCCAATCATTTTTTAGGATTAGATTATTTAGTTTCCAATTATTTTTTAATATATCTTTCCATGGAAGGGTCACATATTCTCTAAGAAAGTTCTGTAGGTCCCCTGACCCCTACTTCAACCTCTCACTCACAAGTTTCTGAGCAGATTCTCTGACCTAACAGAGTTAATTCTCCAAGACATGAAAGATTCCCATAGGGAATGGATGTCTCATATAACCTTCCTCCTGTCCTGTAGACATCTCAAACTCAATGTGCCCAAAATTATTCCATTATCTCTAGCTACTTCTCCTCCTCACACTCTTTTCCCCCTTCCAAACTTCCATATTACTGTAGAAGACACTACCACCTTCCCAATCACTCAGACTCACAATCTTTGTGCTATCCTTAAACCTTCATTTTCACTTTCCCCATAGATCCAATTAGTTGGAAAATCTTGTCATTTTCATCTCCACATATTCCTTTCTCTCCACGAATACAGCCACTACTCTCAGGTCCCCACCATCTTCAGGACTATTACAAAGCCTTCTGATTGGTCCTCCCTATGCCAATCTATCCTTCATTCAGTTGCTAACGTGATCATTCTAGAGTAGACTTTTGGCTACGTCATTTTTCAGTCATATCTGACTCTCTTTGACCCCATTTGGGGTTTTCTTGACAGAAATACTGGAGCGATCTGCCATTTCCTTCTCTACCTCATTTTACAATCGAAGAACTGAGGCAGAGTTAAGTGACTTACCCAGGGTCATACAGCTGGGAAGTGTCTGAGCCTAGATTTGAACTTCAGGAAGGTAAGTATTCCTGACTCTAGGATTGTACCACTTAGCTATTCATATCATGCCCATGTTCAATAAAATCCTGTACCTCCTTGCTAACTCCAGTATCCAATAGAATTTCTTCACAGTTCCTCATAACTCGATCCCATTGGATGATAGCTAGCAGGGATGGATGGATAAAGTGAGAGGTTTGTTTCTGCAGATAGGGGAGACAGGTTATGCTTTAATGTCTTCATCTGAAAACAGCTTTTTCTTTACCTTTGACCATTTGTCAATTGGGAAATAACTTATGTTCTTATAAATTTGACTTAATGCTCTATATATTTTAGAAATGAGGCTCTTATCACAGATGCTGGTTGTAAAAAATTCTTTCCCAGTTTTCTGCTTCCCTCCTAATCTTGGTTGTATTGGCTTTGTTTGTGGAAAAACTTTTCAATTTAATGTAGTCAAAATTACCAATTTTGATTTTCATTATGTTCTCTATCTCTTGTTTGGTCATAAATTCTTCTGTTTTCCATAAATCTGACAGGTAAACTCTTCCTTGCTCTCCCAGTTTGCTCAGAGTATCAGCCTTTATATCTAAGTCGTGTACCCATTTTGACTTTATTTTGGTATATGGTGTAAGATTTTGGTGTACGTTTTGTTTCTGCCATACTCTTTTCCAGTTTTCCAGCAGTTTTTGTTAAATAGTGAGTTTTTATCCTAGAAGCTGAGGTCTTTGGGTATATCAAATAGTAGATTATTATAGTCATTGGCTACTATGTCTTGCATACCTAACCTATTCAACTGATCCACCACTCTACGTCTTAACCAATAGCAAGTAGTTTTGATAATTGCTGCTTTATACTGCAATTTAAGACCTGGAACAGCTGGGCCACCTTCCTTAGCATTTCTTTTCATAAGTTCCCTTGATATTCTGGAGATTTTGTTTTTCTAAATGAATCTTATTATTTTTTCTAGCTCTGTAAAATAATTTTTGATAGTTTGATTGGTATGTCATTGAATAAGTAAATTAATTTAGGTAGAATTGTCATTTTTATTATACTAGCTCGGCCTACCCATGAGCAACTGATGTTTTTCCAGTTATTTAGATCTGACTTTATTTGTGTGAAAAGTGTTTTGTAATTGTGTTCATAAAGTTCCTGGGTTTGTTTCGGGAGGTAGACTCCTAAATATTTTATGTCTACAGTAACTTTAAGTGGAATTTCTCTTTCTATCTCTTGCTGTTGGGCTTTCTTGGTAATATTAGGAATGCTTCTGATTTTTGTGGATTTATTTTATAACCTGAAACTTTGCTAAAGTTGTTTATTATTTCGAGTAGTTTTTTACTTGATTCTCTAGGATTCTCTAAGTATATCATCATATCACCTGCAAAGAATGATAGATTTGTTTCTTCTTTGCCTATTCTAATACCTTCAATTTCTTTTTCTTCTCTTTTTGCTAAAGCTAACATTTATACTACCATATTGAACAACAGTGGTGATAATGGACATTGTTGTTTCACCCCCAATCTTATTGGAAATGCTTGTAGCATGTCCCCATTACATGTAATGCTTGCTGAAGGATTTAAGTAGATGCTACTTATCATTTTAAAGATGACTCCATTTATTTTTTATTTGTTTATTTATTTTTAGTTTTTAACATTCACTTCCAGAAGATTTTGAGTTTCAAATTTTCTCCCCATCTCACTCCTCCCCCCCACCCCAAGATGGCATACATTCTGAATACCCCTTCCCCTAATCTGCACTCCCTTCTATCACCCTATCTTCTTTTATCCCCTTCCCTTCTGTTTTCCTGTAGGCCAGAATAGATTTCTATACCCCACTGCCTGTATATCTTATTTCCCAGTTGCATATGAAAACAACTTTTAACACTTGTTTTTAAAACTTTGAGTTCCAAATTTTCTCCCTTCCTCCCTCCCCAACCACCCTCATTGAGAAGGCAAGCAACTCGATACAGGTTATACATGTGTAGTCATGCAAAACACTTCCATAGTAGTCTTGTTGTGGAAAACTAAATATATTTCCCTTCATCCTATCCTGCCCCCCATTTATTCTATTCTCTCTTTTGACTCTGTCCCTCCTCAGAAGTGTTTGCTTCTGATTAACCCCCATGTATTCTATCCCCTCTTTTAACCCTGTTGCTCCTCAGAGGTGCTTGCATCTGATTACCCCCTCCCCCAATTCTGCCCTCCCTTCTATCATCCCCTGGCTCTCTTATCTGCTTCCCCCCTATTTTCTTTTAGGGTAGGATTGATTTCCATACCCAATTGAGTGTGTATGTTATTCCTTCCTTAAGCCAAATCTGATGAGAAGAAAATTCACTCATTTCCTCTCACTTTCCCCCACTTCCCTTCCAGTGTAAAAGCTTTTTCTTGTCTGTTTTATGTGAGATAATTTACCCCATTCTACCTCTCTCTTTCTACTTCTCCCAGAATAATCCTCTCTCACCTCTTAATTTTATTTTTTAGATATCACCCTTTCATCTTCAATGCACCCAGTGCCATCTCTCTCTCTCTCTCTCTCTCTCTCTCTCTCTCTCTCTCTCTCTCTCCATATAATTTTTCCCTCTAACTACTCTAATACTGACAAAGGTCTCATGGGTTACAAATATTATCTTTCCATGTTGGGATATAAACAGTTCAACTTTAATAAGTCTCTTGTTCTCTTATGATTTCTCTTTCCCATTTACCTTTTCATGCTTTTCTTGAGTCTTGTATATTTGAAAGTCAAATTTTCTATTCAACTCTGGTCTTTTCATCAAGAATGCTTGAAAGTCCTATATTTCACTGAATGTCCACTTTTCCCCCTGAAGGATTATACTCAGTTTTGCTGGGTAAGTGATTCTTGGTTGTAATCCTATCTCCTTTGACCTCTGGAATACTATATTCCAAGCCATCCAGTCCCTTAATGTAGAAGCTGCGAAATTTTGTGCTATCCTGATTATGTTTCCACAACACTTGAATTGTTTCTTTCTGGGTATTTGCAATATTTTCTCCTCGACCTAGGAACTCTGGAATTTGGCTATAATATTCCTAGGAGTTTTCCTTTGGAGATCTCTTTCAGGAGGTGATCAGTGGAGTTTTTTAATTTCTATTTTACTCTATGGTTCTAGAATATTAGGGCAGTTTTCCTTGATAATTTCTTGAAAGATGATGTCTAAGTTCTTTTTTTGATCATGGCTTTCAGGTAGTCCAATAATTTTTTAATTATCTCTCCTGGATCTATTTTCCAGATCAATTGTTTTTCCAACAAGAAATTTCATATTGTCTTCTACTTTTCGTTCTTTTGGCTTTGTTTTACAATTTTTTGATTTCTCATAAAGTCATTAACTTCCATTTGCTCCATTCTAATTTTTAAGGAAGTATTTTCTTCATTGAACTTTTGGACATTTTTTTCCATTTGGCCAATTCTAATTTTTAAAGCATTTTTCTCCTCATTGACTTTTTTGAACCTCTTCTGCCATTTGGGTTAGTCTATTTTTTAAGGTGTTATTTCCTTCAGTATTTTGGGGGTCTCCTTTAGCAAACTGTTGACTAGTTTTTCACAATTTTCTTGCATCACTCTCATTTCTCTTCCCAGTTTTTCCTCTACTTCTCTTACTTACTACTCAAAATCCTTTTTGAGCTCTTCCATGGCCTGGAACTGGTTCCTATTTTTCTTGGAGGCTTTGGATGTAGGAGCTTTGACTTTGTTGTCTTCTTCTAGTTGTATGTTTTGATGTTCTTTTTCACCAAAGAAAGATTTTATGGTCTTTTTTTTTTTTTTTGCTCTGTTTGCTCATGATCCCAAACAATTGCATGAGTTTTGCTGAGGCCCCCTCTTTCTTTGTGTGGCCGTGCTGAATTGCGCTCCTCTCACAGCCTGGCTCGATAGACCTTTCCAATGAACTATCCAAGTTGTCTTGGGCTGGAAATTTGCTTCACTCTGTCTTTTTGTGACTTCTGCTGCTCTAGAATTTGTTTAGAGCCATTTTTTACAGGTTTTTGGAGGAGTTTGGGGGAGAGCGCAAGCAAGTGATTTCTTTTACTCACCTATCTTGGCTCTACCCCCCAACTCCATGTATTCCTATGCTCTTTAGTATTTTTAATAGGAATGGTTGTTGTATTTTGTCAAAAGCTTTTTCTGCATCTATTGAGGTAATCTTGTGGTTTCTATTAGTTTTGTTGTTAATATGATCGATTATGCTGATAGTTTTCCTAATATTGAACCAAGCCTGCATTCCTGGTATAAATCCTGCCTGGTCATAGTGTATCATTCTCATGAGAGATTGCTGTAATCTATTTGCAAATATTTTGTGTAAAATTTTCCCATCTATATTCATTAAGGAAATTGGTCTATAGTTTTCTTTCCTTGTTTTGACTCTTCCCAGTTTAGGAATTAACACCATATTTTTATCATAAAAAGAATTTGGTAAGGCTTCTTCTTTGCCTATTTTCCAAAAATAGTCTACATAGTATTGGAATTAATTGTTCTTTAAATGTTTGATAGAATTTGCTTCTAAGTACATCTGGCCCTGAAGATTTTTTCCTAGGTAGTTCGTTGATGGCTTGTCCCATTTCTTTTTCTGAGATGGGGTTGTTTAAGTAGTTTCTGTCCTCTTCTGTTAATCTGGGCAATGTATATATTTGTAAATATTCATCCATTTCACTAAGATTGTCAAATTTATGGGCATACAGTTGGGCAAAATTGTACTTTAATATTGTTTTAATTTCCTCTTCATTGGTGATGAATTCACCCTTTTCATTTTTGATACTGGTAATTGGTTTTCTTCTTCTTTTTTTTTTTAATTAAATCAACCAAAGGTTTATCTATTTTGTTGGTTTGATCATAAAACCAACTCTTAGTTTTATTCTAAACAGGGGGGGTGGGAGGGAGAGGGAAAACATTTAAAACTCAAAAGCTTATTGAAGTAATTGTTGAAAACTAAAAATAAATTAATTAATTTATTAAAAATTAAAAAAGGAGTTAAACCAAAGAGATAGATGTAGTTACCTTCACAAGTGATAAGGGCTTCCTCTCCCTGGTGGCAAGAATTCTGGTGCCAAGATTGAAAAGGACAGTACCAGAGGAAAGATTCTTGACCTTGGCAGTTGATTTTGTCTATCCACCAGGTCTTCCAACTTTCTCTGGGATGAAACAATGTTTCAATATTTCCCTTGGCACCACATTTCAGGTGTCTGCAAATCACTGATACAGTATTGTAGTCCATGGAGTTGGAGCAAACACTACCCCACATTCCATTGTAGAAAACCTCTAGCCATCCAGAGCACTTACGGTCATCACTCGCCAGCCTGAGATCCAAGGATTCTGTAAATGGAGAAGAATATATGGCACGTTCAGAAGGGACACTTGTTCCTATATTCTCTGGGTCTCTTCCCTCTGGAAATTGTATTAGGTTCTCTGGCTCTGCTGGGGAATCTCCACTGGCTAGTACAGACACCAGACCTTCTTTTTCCAGAATTCCTTCCTCTATATTTCTGAACATTTCTCTCTGAAAGAAGACAGGAAATGCCTTTACTGCAATTTCACTATTCAGTTTCACAGTTTCAAAATCAGTGTGTATGTGTGAACCACCAAAACAAATCAGCAGATATGTATTATATATCTATTCTCTGAATAGCACTTTTCTAGGAAATGAAGGTATGAGGAATACACACACACACACATACACATATTCATAAGGGAGGAGAACCACCTATACCAAAGTTGGAGATAAATAAAAATCATCTTTCAGATAAGAGTCCTTGCTCTGAAACTGCAATCTAGGAAGGGCTCTGATTAGGGCAGGAAGTCCTCCTCCCTGTTTGAATCAGCTTCTTCTCTCTCAGGTCTCTAAGATCCACCTCCTCAGTGCTCCCATAAGTCCCTCAGTGTTAGTGGGACATGTGTGGCCCAGACCTGAGCAGAGGACTCCTGCATCCACTTTGTGCCTGCAGTCATGCTGACCCCAATGGAGGGAAGGGCACTCCCCTAGGTGGGATTCATTTCCAGAGCAGCTAAGCTCATCCAGCCAGATGGGCCCTGATCCTTGTCCAAAGTGAGCAAAGACCATGACTTTGAGGGCAAGTAATCACTTCTGCAAATGAATCTTTTTTATGATTTGATAGTTCTACTCTATACAACCCATTCTCTCCAGTCTTTGAGTCTGTAGCAAGCGCACAATACTTTGACACTTGACTGTAGCACCTGTTACATTTGCTACAGAGATTTTTGTGCATATGATGATGATACACATAATCTTTGTGGATTTGTCAATAGACTACGGTAAGGACAGAGTAGATGATCTTGGTTGCCAGAAACCATCTTTAGAGGACTTCAGAAAAGGTTCTATTTTTTTAATAATCAGATAATAATGTGCTTAGAGCAGGAACCCGAAGACTAATCTCTCTGTGTTTCACTGGGAATGGAATCAGTGCACCTTAGTTGTATTAGACCCCTTCATGCAAAGGAATACTAGCAACATGGAGATATAACTAACTAGAGGAAATGATTAATATCAGTGAATGAAGCACCAACTACAAGTGATCCCTCTCGACTTCTGCAGTCAACCTTATTGCTACTCCTCACAATTGGTATACTCTCGTTTGTGAGGTTTGTTTGCTTTAGAATGGAGACTCTATCTCCTTTTGTCTACCTTTTGGTCTTCATATAAAACTATACAACCAAGGAGGTAAAAGTACAGTCAAGATGACAGAATAACAGGAATTAGTACCTAGTGCCTCCCAAAAAACTCCTCCAAACAGATATAAAAAGGCACCAGACCAAGTGCTGATATGGAACATCTAAGAAAAAAATGAGGATGAGACATTTTTTTCCAGCTCAGGTCAGGAAAGTGTGACAGACAGAGAAATCTCCAGATACAAGTCTGGCTAGGACTTTGTAGGGCATGGACAGCCCTGAAAAGGGAGAGACTATGCACCCCATATACTCTATTCAAGTACGTCAGTAAGGTTCCCAAATCCCCTACATACTCTCTCCCCATTGCAAGCCTGGAGAGAGCTCTGGAGGACAGAAGAGATATTGTAGTTCTGGGAATTACAGGACCTGTGTTAAAAATTTCCCAACAAAATATAATTGTTAGTCTGTGTGACCTAGTGGCAGTCATATAATCTCGGTGGATTTCTATTTCCTCCTCTGTGAAATAAAGTTGGACTTCTATTTCTTCCTCTGTAAAATAAAGACATTGATATGAGGACCATTGATTTTAACTTGAGTGCTAATTTGTATGACCCCAGGATCAGATTACAGCTTTCCCTTGTACCAGAGGAAAGACCTGTGGAAGCTCCATTTATATATAAACTCTAGCCCCATGTCCTCCAGCTCAATTTCCGTTCTCAGAGCTCCCAACCCCATCTTATGTCCTTCACACTCACTTGAGCACCTGACACCAGCATCCTCCTCGTGAATACAGAAAGACTGTCCCCCAAGTATTACAGGGCAATTCCACAGAAAGGACTCTTTCCCTATGCACTGTACAGCAGGCAGCCAGATTCCTAGACCAAATGCAGAGCCTACCACACCATCCAAAGCAGAGCCACAGCCCCGCTGCTGACAAACCACATGAGCATCTGCTAGGTCCCATAAGTAACTACATACTGTCCCCCAGGAGCCACTGTGCCAGATCTGCACTCATCCAGAGAATGGGGTCTCTCCTCCCCTGAGTTGGAGTTTGTCTGTGTCTGGAAATGAAGCAACATCTCCTGTTACACTCCCAACTTGGAAGGGAGGAACCTCTAAAAACTCCAGGTATAGAGAGAAATGAACTGAGATGCCTGTACAGTGATCTGAGGCCAGGCAGTTAATTTTCTTCTTGTATATGTCATGTTTCGACAAAGGTGTATTCATGTGGTCTCCCCCATTAGACTTGGAGCTCTTTGAAGGCAAGGACTGCTTTCTTGCCTTTTTTCGATCACCAGGGCTTAGTACAGTGCCTGGCACATAGTAGTTGCTTTAAAAATTACTACTTACTTTGTACAAAGAAGCTATATACAACATGAATTAGACACCTTTAGAAAGGCAGAGCAACAATGGTGAAGTAAAAGCAAGGGGTCATCCAACCTCTCCCAAATTCCCCTCCAAACAACTTTAAAATGATGCCTCAAAGTGAATTCTGGAGCAGCAAACCAACAAAAGCACTGAGTGAAACAATATTCCTGCCCAAGACAACTTAAAAGGTTGGCAGGAAAGTTCCATCTCAAGGGCAAGAAAGAAATGCAATCTAATGCATGCCACACCAGGCAAGTCAGTCCTGAGGCTCCAGGCTCTTGCACAAGGCAGCAAGTAGCAGGCCACACCTAGCACTAACCAGTAGCAGGCCTTGGGGCAACTGAACTTGTGGCAGTGTCTTCCATAGCTCTCAGTCCACAAATAATAAAAAGGTTGCATAACTGGTGAAAAGGAGAATACTACAGACCCTTTGCTGGCACTGGGTGCAGGACTATATTGCATTATCCATACTCAGTTGGCAGGTCACAGTCTTAGAGGAAGGAGGAGGATTTGCACATTACAAATGCCAGCCACAGGGGACCAGGACCATAGTCAGAGTTCCAGGGCAGAAAACAGTAACTGTGGTCACTTCCAGACCAGAGTACAGGCTAGGAGAGCAGTAATGTTTCATTCGATGTCCTCTCCACCATGGGGGCAGAAACCAATTTTAACATAGAGTTAAATATAAATATTTATATATTATTGATTATACATATAATATATTTGCTTATATTACACATACATATATATATATGTATATATATATATATAATAGACTGGAAAATGAACAAGCACCAATAAAAAAGAAGCAGATAACAGAGTGTATTAAAATCCTACAATATGTTGTTTACACAAAACACACTTGAAGTAGAGAGTCCCATGCAGAGTAAAGATAAGAGATTGTAGCAGAATCTGCTATGTTTCAGCTGAAGTAAAAAAAAAAAAAAGGCAGAGGTAGCAATCATAATCTCAGACAAATAAAAATCAAAAATAGATCTGATTAAATGAGATAAACAAGGAAACTACATCTTGTTAAAAGGTATCATAGACAATGATATCATAGATATGCACCAAAGGGTAGAGCATCCAAATTCCTAAAGGAAAAGTTAAATGTGTTACAAGAACAAATAGACAATAAAACCATACTAGTGGGGGACCTCAACATTTCCCCCTCAGAATTACATAAATCTAACCAAGAAATAAGGAAGAAAGAAGTTAGTGTTGAATAGGATGCTAGAAAAGTTAGATATGATATACTTTTTTCTCAGCAGTATATGATACCTACACAAAAACTGACCATGTTTTAGGGCATCAAATCTCGCAACCAAATGCAAAAAGCAGAAATATTAAATGCATCCTTTTCAAATCATAATGCAATAAAAATTATATTCCATAAAGGGACATGGAAACATAGATTGAAAATTAATTGGAAACTAAATAATCTAATCCTAAAGCATGAGTGGGTCAAATAAAAATTCATAGAAACAATAAATAATTTCATTAAAGAAAATGACAATGAGACAACATACCAAAATTTCAGGGATGCAGCCAGAGCAGTACTTAGGGAAAAATTTGTATCTCTAAAGCCTTACAATAACAAAAAAGAGAAAGAATAAATCAATAATGTGGATATGCAACTGACAATAAAAAAACTAGAAAGAAAACAAATTAAAATCCAGAATTAAACCCTAAATTGGAAATCATGAAAATCAAAAGAGAGATGAATAAAATTGAGGGTAAGAAAACCGTTAAACTAATAAATAAATTTAGGAGTTAGTTTTATGGAGGTGGAAACAATAAAAGAAGTAAACCATTGGCTAATTTGATTTAAAAAAAAGAAAGAAGAAAACCAGATTACCAGTATCAAAATGAAAAGGCTGAATTCACCACCAATGAAGAGAAAATTAAAGTAATTATTAAGAGCTATTTTGCCCAATTATATACCAATAAATCAGACAATCTAAGTAAAATGGGTGAATATTTACAAAAATATGTATTTCCCAGATTGACAGAAGAGGAAGTAGAATACTTAAATAATGCTATTTTAGAAAAAAAATTGAATAAGACATCAATGAGTTCCTTCAAAAAAAAATCCCAAGGACCAGATGGATTCACAAGTGAATTCAACCAAACAACAAGTAATTCCAATGCTGTATAAACTACTTGGAAAAACAGTCAAAGAAGGAATCCTACCAAATGGCTTTGATGACACCAATATGGCACAGATACATAAACCAGGAAGAGTGAAAACAAAGAAAACTACAGATCAGTTTCCACAGTGAATATTGACCAAAAAAAATAAATAAAATACTATCAAGGAGATAACAGCAATATATCATACAGATATTCATATACTATGAGCATGTTGGATTTATACCAGGCATGCAGGGTTGGTTCAATATTAGGGAAAACATCAGTATAATTGATTGCATAAACAACAAAATGAACAAAAATCAGATGATTATCTCAATAGATGCTGAAAAAGATTTTGACAAAATGCAACAATCATTCCTATTAAAAACTGCACAAGAATAAATGAAACTTTCCATAAAATGATAGGGAATATTTCTCCAAAACCAACAGCAAATGTTATCTGTAATGGGGATAAACTAGAAGCCAGTGAGATTAGGAATGAAACAAGGATGCTCACTTTGAGCACATTATTATTCAACATTGTCCTAAAAATGCTAGCTATAGCAAGAAGCAAAGAAAAAGAAATTGAAGGAATTAGAAGAAGCAATGACGAAACACAACTATTACTCTTTGCAGATGATATGATGATATACTTGGAGAATCCCAGAGAATGAACTAAAAATACTAGATGATATAATTAATAACTTTAATAAAGTTGCAGGATATAAAATAAACCCACATAAATCATCATTATTTCTATATATTAACAACACAGTTCAGTAGGAAAAGATAGAGAAATTCCATTTAAAATGAAAATTCAATTTTGGATATATTCAATTTAAGATGTTTACAGAACATCTAGTTCAAGATGTCCAATAGCGAATTGAAGATGTGAGACCAAAAGTCAGAACAGAAGGTACGCTTCAATAGATAGATCTGAGAATCGTCTGCTTAGAGATGATAATTTCACCCAGTGGAGCTGATGAAATCATCAATGAAACAATATAGACAGAGAAAAGAAGAGAGCCCAGGACACACCCTTGATGAACATCAGTGATTAGTGGGGGTGGCCTGAGGAGACTGAGGAGGAGATGTCAGACAGGTAGGAGGAGGACCAGGACAGAGCAGGGTCATGAAATCCTAGAGAGAAGAGAATATCAAGATGGAGATGGTGATGGACAGTGTCAATGGCTGCAGAGAAGTTGTAAAGTATGAGGATTGAGAAAAGTTAGTTAGATTTGGCAATTAAGAGATTGTTAATCACTTTGGAGAGAGCTGCTTCAGTTGAATGATGACGTTGGAAGTCAAACTGCAAAGTAAAGATGAAAATGAGATGAAAGGTAGTGGAGAGGATACCTAGAGGAGATAGCCTTCACAAGGATTGCAGCCACCATAGCTCTGGACTGGAGGGAATTTCGTCAGTTGGATGAGCTTCCCTGGAAACCTTTCTCTGAAAGCTATCATTTGGACCATAAGAAACTGGATGGACCAAGGACCTTAGGAAATGGTTTTATCAACTGTACTTTCAATATTAGTTAAACATATAAAAATTTATGCTATTGTTACTCTTGTTGCAAGACAACTTATTACAATAACCTGCAAATTGGTCTGTGTGCTTCTAGTCTTTCCCCTTCAATTCATCCTCTAGACAGCTGCTTTGTTGACCTTGACACTACCTTGCTCAAAAATGTCCACTGGCTCTACCTTTTGTCTTCTAGAATAAAACACAAACCCCTCTGTTTGACATTTGAAGGCCTTTCCAATCTAGTTCCAATTTATCTTCCTAGAATGATTTCAGATTATTCTTCCTCATTCAGTCTGTGCTGTAGTCACACTAGACTATTGGCTGTTTCTTATACATGATATTCTGTCTCCCATCCTCTTCCTTTTGTAATTTGTCCCCCACACTGGGAATGATCTCCTTATCTACTAATGCCTCTTGGAATTTTCAAATCCCTTCATATCTTATCTCAAATTATATCATCAAAACCTCCTGATTTCCTAATCACCCCATTCTTAGAATTCTTCCCCCTCTAAAAACAGTTACTTTGGGTCTGCCCTGTATATATTTTGCCTTTACTTTTCAGTGTGTATGTTTCCCTTGTACTCCGAATATCTTTATATCTCCAGCATTTCCCTGGCATACAGCAAGTGCTTAACAGATATTTGAATCAAAAAGATTCATACTGGGAATCCAACCCTGCATTGCCTCCTAAATACATCTAATGCCTGCTTTGTACATCCCGAAGATAAAATACTATGTGTATCCTTCCTCTCAGTGAGATGGGGATGGAGCAGTAGGGAGCCAAGACAGAAAGTGGGAGAGGGCCATGAAATATTTAACATTTCAGAGCAGGAAAACTCCTTTGAGAAAATTTCTCCAAACCCCTCTCTTTTGACAGGAGAGAATAATGAGGTTGAAAGTGGTAAAGTAACTTTCTGAAATTCACATCTCTAGTGGCAGAACCAAGGTCTCCTGACTACAAGCAGTCTTCTTTCCACTACAGCTAAGAGTTGATTTTACAGAAAAAATAGAGGCATGTAACTTGCTCAATTTCTT